TTAATGCACTTTCATACACTACCCACCTTTCACCCTGGGCCAGGCTTTCTGATTCGAATGCCTGCCAGACCCTGTTCTTTTGGTGGCCCTCCTGGGGGTGCAAATGTTGTCTATGCCATCTAAATTTTTGACACCCAGGTCAATGAAGAGAAATATCTTCTATTGGTATCAGGCAAGAAATGGGTCCCAGATCTCCACTCAATGGTCTCTCTTCCCTCCCTCACCCCCTCACACTCCCCTGCAGCCCAGCCGGTGCACCTGGACATATGGCTGGTAGTCTCTTCTCCAAAGACTCCCCAAAGCCCAAGCTCACCCTCTAGCTGTCCCTGGGCTGTGTGACATGGGCAAGTCACTTACACTGTCTCTGCCTCAGTGTCCTCAGCAAATGATGGAGCTGATAGTGAGACACCTGCTGCAGAGGCTTATGGTGAGAATTGAGTGAAAGAGTTCATGAACTCTTCTTTTGTGCTATTTTAACCCTTCTATTTTAAACTTCTAATTATATAATATGTGAATACATTTATTCACATATTTCACTTTTGGAAAATCTTAAATATAGAAAAAAGCAAATGTCATTTTGATCGTGTCCCTCACTTCTTTCCCCAGCAGGAACCATGAATTATCTCTCCTTCCAGACCTTTCTTTGTGCATTTCATAGATATTTGCTATGTTGGCTCCTCTGACATGTATAGTTTTATGGGATCATACGATATGGATTTTTCGCAACTTGCTTTTTTCTCACAGTAGCGTCTGTCACAGATGTTTCCACCTCAGCACTGCTGCCCAGAGTTTATTTAACCACCCCCGTGTTGGTAGAGTTTGGGTTGTTTCAGCATCTCACTGTTAGAACCAATGCTGCAAACAACAGCCTGGGGGTTGCCTCCACACGCCGTCACACTGGCATTTCTGCAGGACAGACACAGTCCACGTGTCACTGTTTAAGCTGATTCAACACATTGCAACCCCAGCTTTTTGTATTCAGTGCCTGCCTGCGGGTGGCTCTGAGCTGGCCTTTCCATGGCATGCACTGCCCAGAGCCCCTCAGTGTCACCTCTGGGGCCACATTCAGGGAGGACAACAGACATAAGCCTGGGCCCCAGATACGGCAGGGTCAGGTCAAATGTGTGGCTGGGGCCCCCGGCGAGGTTTAGCGCTGGCCAGTAAGGTGAGGCAGGGAAGTTTCCCCTCTGCACATGCTCCCTCCCTCCCTGCAAGCCCACTCCTCCCCCATCTCCACCAGTGTAGGAGACGACACTTGAGAAGCAGCCATCAGCAAATCACTCAGCTCTCAGACTCCTTTCCTCATGTGTAAGACCGTGAGGACGTCCACCTCCCAGGGCAAATGGGGAGAGGGAGATGAGAGATCAAGTGTTGGTCTAGGGAAAGACTCTTCAGATGTAAATTAATAGCATCCTTGTCCCTGGGGGCCTCCTGCCCCATCCCAAGTGCTCCTCCTGCAGAGTCTCCTGTTCAGCTGGCCACTAACTCAAGTACCTGCCCTCCTTTTAGGGGTTTGCAGTCAACTCGGTTGCTAGCTCTTAGCCAAGATCCTAGCTACCCACTAAGATGTTAACTATAACCAAGATAACTGCTCTCAACCAAGACATTAGTTAACAATGCTTTCCATCTCCAAGGAGACAGCAGCAGATGACTTCCCCTGTAAATGAATGCACTGCCATGCAGACTCTCTCTGATCATGTCTTTTGCCCTCGTTAGACTGTCAGTTCTATGAGGGCAAGTTCTCTGGAACATAGTAGGTGCTCAGCAAATATTGTTGGGAATAAATGAATGAAAAGACTTTGGTTGACTCCCAGGCATGAGGTGGCAGTGATGGGTCATACTGGGCAGTGGGGTTGAAATTTGAAGCAGGCCATCCCAGAGAACGCCACATAGATAAGCATCTGTGTGCATGGACCAAGGGCTGGGGCAGAAATCATTTCATTCCTCCTCTCTCCAAGAGAAAAGCCAGCTGGCTGCTCTAGGGGGTCTCCTGCATGAGTGCTTCTCAGAAGGGCCACCCCCAAAGCTGGACAGATCCAAGCCTTCCAAGTTAAGAGACTTAATTTCATTAGCTCACCCAGGAGTGACCAGGCTCTGAGAAATCAACCAAGCAAGCTACTGATGGATCAGCCAGGTCAGCAGTTTATGAACTGATGCTGGCAGCTGTGACCGCCAAGTGGCCAAAGCCTTTGCACTGGGCCTTCTGCCTGCTCATTCTCTCTGCAGAAGGAAAATGTGCTTGGGAATCCAAATCAAACACAGAAGGAGCAGAGCGGAATGGAGAGAAATCATACTCAAAAATACAAATAGTGGATGCCACATACACTGTCATAAATCTACCCTCAAAACCACACCGTGGTGTGGGCGTTGCTACTATCCCATTTTGTAGACGAGGACACTGAGGTCAAGTGGATGACTTGGCTACTGAGCAATGGAGCCGGGTCTCAAACCCAGGCATTTCAACTCCTGTTCCTGTCTGGAGTGCCCTTTCCTCAGTGCCACTGAGCTCAGGAGCCTGACACATCCTGCACAGGGCTCCTCTCAGCTCTGGCCATGGCTCCCCATTTTCGCTCTGTTAAGGCCACTGACCTCCCCAAGGAACAGTGCTGCCTCCCTGATGAGACGCAAGAGACACCTGAGTCTCATCAGCAGTGTGTGCACGTCCTCAAGAGGGCACCTCTCCTTCTGCAGATAATAACAACAAAACCACATTAATATAATAGCAAGCATTCATTAAGTGCTTACCATGTGTCAGGCACTGTGCCAGGCCCCTTGCATGCATTATCTCATTCTCACAACAACCTCAGGAGGCAGGCACGCTCATCTCCTTTTTACACATAGGGACTCACAGGCCCAAAGAGATTAAATGCTCTGCCCAGCCAGGTCCTACAGCTAATGAGTGGTAGAGCAGAGCCTGCAGTCCAAGTGGATCTGACTTTCAAGCCTGTGCTCGTAATTGCCCCCACCTCCCCAACTTTGAGGGTGGCCCTGCCTCAATGTCCTGTGTGCTGGAATTGCTCCCTGTTGGAGCCCTGGCCTCTTGGGCATGGGGGCGCATTGCACCGGAGCTGGGATTCAACTAGGATTCTACAGGGCTGCATCTATAGCAACTCTAAAGTCTGGGTCTTAGGAGTCAAGGAGTCCATGGCGGGTGAAGGAAAGGGAACTGGGCATGACCCCTGCCTACCGAGCAGAATGCAAGCTGCAAGGGCAGGCCCCAACCCCTTCCTCCTCTATCTACTTCTTCCATAGTTCCTGCCTGGCCGAGTTCTCCGCTCTTCACACAACACCAGTCAGGCCTCCCAGGCTTCCCTAGGCCTTCCTAGCTAGCAAACTCCTACTTAAGCCTCAGGTGAAATGTCACCTCTCCTGGGTCACCTTCCTCTGGCCCAATCAGTAGCTCCTTCCTTCACAGTCCTAATTGTGCATTTCGTGGATTTTCTTGTAATGACCTGTAAGTGTCCCCCATGACGCTGTGAGCTTCCCCAAGGCAGGCATGGCTTTGTGTTTCTTGTCTCTTCCACTCTCAGCAAGTCCCTGTCATGCAGCTGTCGCCCCATACATATTTATTGTATAATGAATGAGTTTCAGAGGACCCAGGGAACATGCCTTTCATACACAAGTGACCGAAGAGCCCAGTTAACAAGAATGTGAATCAATGTAAAAGAATTCCAATCCCGGGCCAGGCATGGTGGCTCACGCCTGTAATCCCAGCACTTTGGGAGGCCGAGGCGGGCAGATTACCTGAGGTCGGGAGTTCGGGACCAGCCTGGCCAACATGGAGAAACCCCGTCTCTACTAAAAATACAAAATTAGCTGGGTGTGGTGGTGCATGCCGGCAATCCTAGCTCCTCGGGAGGCTGAGGCAGGAGAATCGCTTGAACCCAGGAGGCGGAGGTTGCAGTGAGCCAAGATCTCACCATTGCACTCCAGCCTGGGCAACAAGAGTGAAACTCTGTCTCAAAAAACAAAACAAAACAAAACAAAAAACAAAAAAAACCCCAATTCCAATCCTACGTGGATCAGTGCTTCATCACCTTTGAGATTCTGGTGGACATTTTGGCCTCTTTCTCCAGAAAAGCGCACCACGCCTGCCAAATTTCATATTCTACTTCTCAAGGGTTCTGCTCCCTAGGCTTGGAGCCCAGAGGAAAGCTACGTGGGGAGGGGTAGGAGCCACTGTATACAGTGGGCAGGCCTGGCAGGGGCAGCGGGGTGGCACAGTGCTGTCTCAAAGGGAATCTGGTCCTAGTCCATTAGGCCAAGCAGGTCCCCAGGGAGAAGCCTGCTTCCTGGGAGGAAAGGCATTAACCCCAGGTGCTGTTAGTAGCAGGGCAGAATGGTTACACCTGGGGCTCTGGAGCTGGACTGCTCGGGTTCAAATCTTGGCTTTGCCACCTTCCAGCTGTGTAACCTTTGGCTAATATTTAAGGTCTCTGGGCCTCACTTCCTGTAGGAAGAATCTGATTCTTACTGGATGGGGATGTCGGTATAGCACTGATGGGCTGATGTCAGTACAGCACAAGTGCTTGGGCCCTGCTTGTACCTGAAGCATTCGCCTTCCTCTGAGAGCAGGGTCCTGAGGGAATGGCCAAGAAGTCTAGGCCTCAGCTTGAAGGTCCCCTCCCCCAGGAAGCCTTCCCTAACTCCCTGACACACTCACATAGGTGAGGCTCCTTGTTATCAGCCCCACCGCTGCCTGGAACCTTGTTATACTCATCATCCTAACAATTCCTCTAGACTCGAAGCTCTGTGAGGACAGGGACCCTGGCTGTCTTGTTCTCTGCTGTATCCCTGTGCCTGGCACATAGCAGAGGCTCAGTAAATAGCTGCTGAACAGAATTAGGGATAGAAGGTGTCTCAGGAGGGCCACTGGGCAGCCAGGCAGCAGGTGAGGGTAATAAAATTGGGGGTGGGGCTGAGGGGGGCACCAGGGCTGCCATAGTCAGTGTCACACTGCCTGGGCCTCTGACCCCTCTCTCTCTCCTCACTTCTCCCAGTTCCTGGCACTTGACACCCAGTTGCTGATGGGTAACCGACGCCACTCGCTGAGCCCTGAGGAGTATATTTTTGGAGCCCTCAACATTTACCTAGACATCATCTATATCTTCACCTTCTTCCTGCAGCTTTTTGGCACTAACCGGGAATGAGGAGCCCTCCCCGCCCCACCGTCCTCCAGAGAATGCACCCCTCTTGGTTCCCTGTCCCTCCCCTGCGCCCCTACAAGACCAGATATAAAACTAGCTGCCAACCCAGGCTGTGGCCAGGCCACTGTCTACCCCAGCCCAGCCCAGCCCTCTGCCGCTTGTACATACGCCATGGGGACCCTGAGGAACCGAGGCCATGTCAATCCCCGTGCCGCCCTGTTCCCCCCGTTACATCTTCCAAACTGGGACGGTCAAGGCTGAAGGCTCCTCTGGGTTTGAGGGCCTAAGGGACAGCGGGGAGAAGCCTAGCAGGATTTCAAATGCGGGAGTGAGACCCAGGAAGCCCAGCGGAGCCCTGACCCCCCACCACAATTCCTCCTAGGGCTGCACAACCATGTGGCCTTGGGTCCTGCGTCCAGTCTGTGTCCTCCTGTCTTTCTCGTGCAGGACAGGCATTGACACTTTGTAAGAAAGGGGGTGGGGGACGTAGCTGGGCGGGTGGAGTGAGTGGGCAGGACGGCTGTCCCAGGCTGCCCATCTTCTCTTGGCTCTGGGACCAGCAGCTTGTTCTAGGGGTTTGAAGCCTGTGCTGTCTGCTGCTTGCTGTGAACGGCCCTCCCAGGTCATGACAGAGCACTGTTGGGGCAGGAGGTGAGAGCAGGGGGCCCTGTTCCTCAGTGAGGGCCTGTCCTGGGGCTCCCAGGGAAGTGGGAGCCGGGGAGCCAATCCACCCAGACCCGTGTCCACCTGGGAGGCATTTGGGGTTGCAGAACCGAGATCCACATCCTCTCACTCGCTTCTCTCCACCCACCAGGCTACTGCCACAGGCCTGAGGCTGAGTGAGGTGTGCTTGGGCCCTCCGGCTGGATGTTCTGGGGGAGGAGGCAATCATTCTAGCTGCCAGGCCAGCCCCATCTGGAAGGAGTCCCTGCTCTGTCCCAGCCCTAACCCGAGGCTGTGTGGGAGTCCCTTCTGCACCTCTTATTTCCTAAACCCTTCCTGTCAGCTGCTGTTTGCTGGCTTGTCCCCAGCCAGGCCTCCTGAGGCCTTCGTAGTTGGCAGAGTCCACATCTCTTCTAGCTTCACTGGCC